AGTTGGTTTCCAAGGAACTATATGTAGATAAAGACTGGTATTTTCACTTTGAAGAAATTTCAAAGAAATTTTACTATATTTGAAGATCACAAGCAAAGCGTATTTCCAAAGTCAAAGGTTCTGGTGGGTTGGAGAGGTTTGTAACATCACACCGCAGTACGGTAAAAACTGACTTACTTGGTAAAGCAACCCCAACTCACTTTTTGCTGAACTGGCTTGAAGGAACTTTGAAAATATGTTTGTTTTGCTTTTTGCTTTTTTTTTTTTTGTTTAGCATTGACAGAAAGTCTCACATGAATTAAATTAATAACTTTTTGTTCATGTAAATAATGGATACATAGATACGTTCCACCTGAATAACTCTAAATAGAAGTATCAGTGCTAACTTGTCTGTTCCGTCTTATTAATATGTTTTCACAGCCTCAAGGTGGTCAAGAAACACATTAGAGTTATTCATTGTAAGACATTCATTGAATTCATAAAATTCAGTGGAATTCCTTTGAATTTAAATCATCCCAGACCATTTAATATGGGAACTACCTAGTCGCTCAAGGACTAGGTAAAATTACCCTGTCCCGGTGACATTTTATAAAGCTGAGATTCCTTTACATTTTTTTCCTTAACTTTGAGAATGTCATAAATATGTCATCCTGTTGTATCCTCTGATTGAGAGATTACTTCAAAAAATAGATCCCATTTATATTCAACCTTGACATCTTCTGTTTGGAGATGATATTTTAAAGTACATTCTAGTACCTTCCCTATTTTATTCTAGTGGTTGAAAAGGGAGGACCTTTGTCCTGGAAGTGGACACGGTAAATGTAGTTTGTTAAATTGGTCAAAGAATGCGGAGTTCAGAGAGGCTACCATATGTGACTTAAGGTATCTCAATTGTTCAAGTAATTATAATTCATTGAGCTCCCGATCTCTCCTCTCTACATCTGGAATGAGTAGTGTCAAGGAATGTTATTTCCAAACACAGAAAGCAGAAGTCTGGGTGAGGTCAGGCAGGAAACGTGGCTGGGAGGAAGCTATAAACATCCATTCATGGTGATGCGCCGGCCACCAGGTACTTTTGCTTCATTCTAGCAGCCCCATGACTAGTGAGAAGCTGCTGCGTTGTCGTAGGCAGCAAAAAAGATCCAAGGAAAGACAGGAAAAAACCGGGTGAAGTCCAGGTTTTACAAGGTATACAGGTCGAAGGAGACCAAGTTCTTGAATATTTATTTACTGCCTGTAGGTGGGAAGTTGTAACGTTTATTGGAAGCTTAACACTTTCAGTGGTTGAAGCTGGGTTGACCTGTTCAGAGTTGAAGGGAGTTTAGGATCCCCTTGCTGAAAATCCCGTTTTATGGATGAGGAAAATAAGGGCAAACGAGGTGATGTGATCTGCGGAAGAGCTACATGTAGAACCTGGACCTCACGACATCTACACCAAAGGCTAAAGCAAAGCCCACGTCAGAAGCAGCAGTACCAAATGTTCCACCTGAGAGAGAAACAAGGTTTTCTATTTATACATTGTCTCTATCTAAGGAGAATATGAGCAGGTATATCACGCCCTCATCACCCTGCTGGCTGGCTACTTCATGGGAAGGGTCTTCTCAACTCCTACTTAGTTCTGTCTTCCGATCCCTCTGACAATTCTCCCCTGTTTGTGATAAGTTTTCTTACGGCCCCTACTGGCAGGTATCACCTTGATATTCCGTCCATGGCTTTCCGGTTGATGCCTTAATTAAATTACCTGCGGTGTAAATTTATGCTCAGCTTGATGTAATGGGGATGATGCTCAAAATGATGGTTCCCAGCTTGGCCTGGTTCCTGTCTCAGATTCTGCAGAACAGGACGCATCTTCCTGGATGTCCTGGCATCACTTGGCCAAAGTGCCGGAAGTATTATTATTCTGGTGTCACTGATCCTCTTCTGGACTTCAGCATCTTGCATGAGGACCGTAGCAACAGCACTGTATCTAGCTTCCCTGCTTTTAGCGACCCAATAAATCCACCCTATGCACAGATGGCAAATGTCTACACCAAAGGGAGAGCTCCAATCGTATCATTCTCCTGATCAAAACCTTTCAGTGGTTTCCCATTACCTGCAAAATAACATCCAATCTCCTTAACCTGGGCTTTAAGGCACTCTCAGGTTGGGTCATAATTCAACCAATATTTATTGAGTGCTGGCTGAATGCTGCACTAGATGCTAGAGACGTGGCAGCGTAACAGGACACAGCCCTGTCCAAACCGAACTCTCTACTCCGGGAGAGGATACGAACTAGAAAACAATCACATGTAACATAGTGTGTGGCGTGTGTGTGTGTGTGTGTGTGTGTGTGTGTGTGTGTGTGTGTGTGTGTGTGTGTGTGTCAGGGGCCATGACAGAATTAGGAAATGCTCTGAGATAAAAGAGGACCCAGACCGAGGTGGGGAGAGGTGGAGGAAAGGAAGGTGGGGTGGAATCAGGGATGGGAGCCAGGGAAAGCATTCCTGGAGAAAGTAGCAGAACTTGAGACATGAAGAGGCAAGCAGACAGGTGAGGGGGGTGGTGAAGAGTGACGATGAACAGTGTCTAGCTCACGTGGCCTCCTCTCTGAGTTCCTCCCCCACACGAACTGGCCTCAACACCTTTCCTTACCTACCGCTTGCTCACCTTTCAAAGCTTTCAAAGTCTGGCTCCGCTACCACACCACTGAGCCCCACTGGACAACCCAACTGGAAATCATCTCTCTATCTCTCAAGTCCTTCAGCCCAAATTTCCGTCCTCTGATGTGGAGCTGCCCAGGGAACACTCACAGAATGAATTTCTACTGCCCCCTCCTAACCGTGGCTACGGCACCACGCCCCGACTATCGCACCAGCCTTATGCTGCCTCTTCCATCCGTAGGGGGGCTTCCTTACCGCCACCCAAACACACTAAGTTAATGCTGCTCCAGTGACCCACCCACTCAGTTCCATCCTTCATGTCCCAGACCAACTTCACTCCTGCTTTCTTGAGACCCACCCGACTCTGCTCTCTCCTTCCCCAGCTCCCTGCGCCTTCAGGTTCAGTGCAATCCTGGCTCCAACTGGGCAGCAGGGTCCTGTCCAGCTTCCCACGTGGCCCACCCGGCAAAGACCTGACAGAGTGGCAAGGGCGTACTGACAGGTTCTGTGTATCTTCGCTCCCAGCTTTGAGCAGAGAGAACCTAGTTTCACAAGGAAAGTTGAGAGGTCACCGGAGAGAAAAATAAATCAGCAACAAAAAGGAACACCTGAGATATGGCGGGGGGAAGGCAGATTTACAAAGACTGTGGGAGGAAAGCATGCCCAAGGTCTAAGTCAAATCAAGTTAAAACACATCACTATGTTTTCCTCTGTTTGCCTGACATGAGTAATTTCTCCGGAACCCTAAAGAGTTAGAGCTCTTTTCCTCCAGGTAGGTAACTTTGCCCCTTTGAGTATAATCTTTGAGTTTCCACTGGAACAGAAAAGGGAAGTGTTTTTGCATTAAATTAAAAGGAACTATTGAGGTTCCTTTTAGGTTAGTTTTATGTATTTATTTATATCATTGTTTGACGGTTTTCTTGTTCTGAGGCTACAGAAAGAATCAATGATTGAAGACCAAATGTTTCAGGTAGGTTTGTGTCCCTTATAAAACCATAGCAATGATCTGTTTTTCAGCCTTGATTTAAGTTTTCAAGTTTCCATTAACATCTATACTTCTGGGGGAAGCTTCCCCTTTATCATTTCCTCATATAAACGGTTCTGCTGCAATTGGGAAAAGCTGGGGCGACACTGTTCCATACACACCCTTATCTTGCCCTCTGTGATGGGGCTGTTTCCTCGTGGCGGTTAGCTAGTGTATTAACTTCCGGCCAGCCTCCAGGAGTAAATCGGGGTAAACGCAGCTGGGCACAGACCTCCTGTGGGACCCCTGCCCTCAGTCAAGAAGACGCCGTCTCTGCCAGACAAGTTGCATCGAAGTGGGGCTGGCGGTGAGACTTGACAGAGGGAGGGCCCATCAGTCCTTGAATAGCTGCCCTCAAGAGGCAGAAACCTGAGACCAAAGTTCCCCTTGGACATATGGAGTTCCCAAATCTCTACTTCAAAATATCCATCAAGTGTGAGAAATGAAGTTGGAAAGTATATTTGAAACCTTACCCACGTCAGGAATACACTTTGTAGGTACAAAAGCTCCTCACTGAATGAAACCTTACCATGTGGGTTCAGGAGCCCTTATTTTGACAAATCTTTCTAGTTAGATGCATTGCTTGTATTTTTCAGGTGTTCTACAAGCTACAAGATGCATTACTTCAAAGAATTCAGTACTTCTAAAGGAAATCACTTGATGCCCCGGGCATTTGTTTCTAAACTTGCCCGGGCTACTAGGATCTCCACCTTTCCCAGCCCTTCTCTCTTGTTCCCTCGATTCTTCTTTCCTTTTCTACTCCTCCTACCTCAGCAGTGCTCATTCCCCTGCCTCTGCTGTCTTTTGTTATTTGTTTTTGTTTTCTTTGGCTGCACCATGCGGCACGTGGGATCTTGGTTCCCTGACCAGGGATAAAACCCACGTCCCCTGCACTGGGAGTGCGGAGTCTTAACCACTGGACCGCCAGCGAAATCTTCCTGTCTTTGTTTTTAACTGGGCAGTTTGCAATCTACACTCACGCTCAAGCATCTCTTGTAAAAGTCTTCAGAATCAGAAGCAAGGCAGAGAGAGAGGGTCAGAATGCATTTTCTTCCTTATTTGGTGGTGCAATGAGATCCCTTAAGTACCAGGGTCTATAGGTCCGAACTGGGTTACTTCTCCTAACCTTAAAAGTTTCCCCCGGTCCTGGAAATTCTTCCTCTTCTCCCCTCAAACTGGCCTACGTCAGCAGGATCTGTCCTCTACTAAGCTGGGTCACTGTCCTTGCGTTCACTGTGACGATGTGGAGATCTCTTGGGAGGCTAAGTGGTGACAAAGGCCAACTCTGGCTACCAGACGTTCCAGGCTGAGCCCGTGTCCGGAGTCCAGACCCTCACCTGAATGAGGAGACCGGTAGCGAAAGTCCTCTTTGGTCAGGAGCAGGAGAGCTTTGCCATTCATCTCAAACGTGCTGCTGTCAATCGGCCTTAGAGAAAACTCATTTTCAGCCCACTTGAGCCACTGGGCTACGTCATCTCTGCTCCAGTACATTGGCTGCAAGCCTGTTGGAGAGACAGCAAGGCAGAAAGAAAAGAGAGAGAGAGAGAAAAAAGGTCTTGTCAGTTAGACAGTTGAAATAAAGGGCAAAGATTTCCGAATAGTTAATGAAATTGAGTCTCCGTATCCGAAGAGCCCTTAGGTTCCACTCTGAATCCCAGGTAAAACTCAAGCTTCATGAGTGGTAAAGTGCGATATCAAATGAACTTTTTATTTAGAGGCAAAAAGCGGGGGGGGGGGGGGAAATCCCTTTTTATGTCTTTAAGGAACCGTAGGTCTCACAGCCCTGTCCTTTTCCTTGGCCGGCTCCAGCTCCAGGGGTGTCCGGATTCCTGGTCTGCCCTGAAGGTGCAGCTGTGGAGTGGGCCTGAAGCACCTGAGGGGGCTCAGAGTCATGACAAATGTCAATGTGCTTTGGAGGCGACTTCAGAATCAGAGCTGGGGTGGGAGGGAGGGAGACGCAAGAGGGAAGAGATATGGGAACGTGTATATGTATAACTGATTCGCTTTGTTATAAAGCAGAAACTAACACACCACTGTAAAGCAATTATACTGCAATAGAGATGTTAAAAAAAAAAAAAGAATCAGAGCTGATCTGATTGTAGCCCCAGCGTCCTTTCAAAGTGAGAATGTTCCAGAGTGGGGCCTGACCTTCCAGAGATGCCAAATAATGAAGTGTTCCCTGAAACTTCTTCCAGGAAGAGCAACGCACTCGCCTCTGGGAAGCTATCAGGCTATAGCCTCTGGGAATGAGAGGGCAAGGTAAGGATAAAAGGTCTCTCGCCTGTTTACTGTACTTGCTGATGTCAGAACTTCCTGGTAGGGGTGGTACTTGAAGTCTGAGTCGGACAGGAGTGGGTGAAAGGGAGCTGAGAGGATGGCTCGGGCTGGGTCTCTGTCTGGAAGCCTGACTGTGAATCTATGTTTTTATTTGATTTTGCATTTGCGGGAAATCTTGGACATATCATTCAAGTGGTTTAGAACAGTCGTTATCAAAGTGTGATCCAGGGACCCTTCAGGGTTCCCAAGACCTTTTCAGCGTGTCTATGAAATCAAAACTCTTTTCATAACAATATTAAGAGGTTATCTCTGCCTTTTTCATTCTCATTCCTTCATGAGCATATGGTGGAATTTTCTAGAGGCTACACAGCATGTGATATGACAGCAGACATGAGAATCCATCCATTTTCTATGAAGCTAGACATTAAAGAGACTTGCAAAAATGTAAAACAAAGAATGCCACTCTAATTTTTTTTGGTTTTGGAAAATATATTCATAAATATATATTTATGTTAACATTTACTTGGCTTATTTTTCAGTGAGTTAAGCAATATTTTTATATATATTATAACAAATACTTAAAATTTTCAGTTTTAATTTCCAATATGGTAAATATAGATAGAAGCCACATGAGCAAAGCTCTTTGGGGTCTTCAATAATTTTAAAGAATCAAAAGAAATCCTGAAACCAAGCTGTCTGAGAACTGAGGGGTTAGAAGAAGCTAGATGCTCAAGAGTGCTTTATTCTCTAAAATATCGTATGAATTAATAGTTCAAATACAACAGAATCAGTGTTTGCTAAGAGGAGCGTCAGTCTCTCTATTTAGTTACTTCAGCTTGCTAAGGAGACTCCAAGTGTGTGCTCTGACAAGTGTCCTTCAGTTTGATCCTGGAAAGAAGCACCTTTCATCCTTATGTCAGGCATGACAAAGAACTGTCTGGTCTATTTGGATGGGCTGCTTTTCCTCCCGGGTGGACTGGGGAATGGAATGGCTCAGATGCCCTTGAGAAAATCCAGGGCCTCTGGGCATGACAACTGGCTCTGTCTTGCAGGTGGCTTCTTTGCAAAGTCTAGTTTTAAAGAAGGGCAGCTGGCTTCCTTGGACTCTGGGGAAGTCTCTTTGAAACTGGTCCACTGTGTAGGGCACCAATAAAGCACTATGGGCACTGAAATAATTAGAGATGGGCAATGAGAGTTTTTTCCTTGTTTTCTAAGTTTTTTAAGTTTTATGATTTTTTTTCACGTGAAGAAAGGGGCATTGTAAAATAATAATGTGTAGTTACTGCTCTATGATCTTTAGAATAAACACAGCCACTAAAGAATTCAAGGTTTTGTTTTGGACTCTTGACTGGGCCAAGAAGCAATGCCTATTAAAAATGGTCCTCGGCTTCCCTGGTGGTGCAGTGGTTAAGAATCCACCTGCCAATGCAGGCGACACGGGTTCGAACCCTGGTCCGGGAAGATCCCACGTGCCGCGGAGCAACTAAGCCCGTGAGCCACAACTACTGAGCCTGCGCTCTAGAGCCCGCGAGCCACAACTACTGAGCCCGCGAGCCACAACTACTGAAGCCTGCGTGCTTAGAGCCCGTGCTCCACAACAAGAGAAGCCACCGCAATGAGAAGCCCATGCACTGCAACGAAGAGTAGCCCCTGCTCGCCGCAACTAGAGAAAGCCTGCCTGTAGCAACGAAGACCCAATGCAGACAAAAATAAAATAACATTAAAAAAAAAAAAAAAAAACTTAGGAAAAGAATGGACTTGGAGGGCCTTATGCTAAGTGAAATAAGGTAGAGAAAGACAAATACTGAATGATATCACTTGTATGTGGCATCTAAAAAATACAACAAACTAGTGAATATAACAAAAAAGAAGCAGACTCACAGATACAGAGAACAAACTAGTGGTTTCCACTGGTGGGGGGATGCAATATAGGGGTCGGGGGGTGGGAGGTACAAATTACTGGGTGTAAGAGATGTATTGTACAACATGGGGAATAGGCAGTATTTGGTAATAACTGTAACCTTTAAGGATTGCATTTTTAGGGACTTCCCTGGTGGTATGGTAGATGGGGCTCCACGCTCCCAATGCAGGGGGTCCGGGTTCGGTCCCTGGTCAGGGAACTAGATCCCACATGCATGCTGCAACTGAGGAGGCCGTGTGCCACAACTAAGGAGCCCGTGAGCCGCAACTAAGAAGCCCACCTGCTACAACTAAGACCTGGTGCAACCATATAAATAATACATTAAAAAAAATTGCATTTTTAAAAAGTTAATAAAAAAAAGGTCCTTGGAGATAGGAGGTATCCCAGCTCTTCCCAATGACCTTGAAAATGCATATCTGGGATCACAGTGAGGGGTGTGTGTGGGGTGTGTGTGAAAATGGTTCAGCAAGACCTCGACTTTTGAACTGGTTAAAAAAGAAAACAACACAAACCCTTAGAGTTGACTTCCTACACTCAATGGTGTCACCTTTGAACGGGAACAGCAGAGTGATTAGTTATTAGGGACCTTTCCTTTCTTCTCCTTCACACAAGAGGCAAGAGCACAGCCAGCCTTTAGGGGACGAATGTGAGGACCAGACAAGCATGGCCTAAGGAACTGCCTTGCGGCAAGAGGGCCGCAGGGCAGAAGATGCTTGGTCAGAAACAGGAAAAAGGACGGGGGTAGCTTATTGGAAGAGGGAGTGCCAAAGCAAATACAGAACCGAATCCCGCTCGGGAGGGGAAATGAGAGTAAAATGCTGAAGTTTCTGCAGAGGAGACACTGAAGTGAGGGAGGCGGGTGAGAAGGGGGTGGGTACACAAGTAGTAATTTGAGGTTCTTTATATTCTATGGAAGAAAATACGCATGAGTAATCTTTTCCCTAAATACAAGAAGAGTCGCACACTCCAAACAGCCCTGCCGGTTAAGAACAACTGTTTCTCTTTTCACTTCCCATTAATCTCTCCCACAGCCCAGCCCCCGAAGCAAGCGGAGCCATCACGTGGAAACCCCCTCACCAGGGACCTACTGAATGCTTGTGGGCTAAGGGGACCTGGCGAGTCTCAGTCCGTCCCGGGAACACCATGGCAATCCTAGCAGTTTTACAAAAGTGACCCCGACAGACTAGGCTACCTGCTGGAGGCCAGGTGATAAACTGATGTAGAATCACCGCTCTTCCAAAGAGAGAATGCGGACACATGCACCGAGCCGGAAGAGGTTTGATAAACTTTGGTGTTCAAAGTCAAGTCCCACTGCTGTACCCTTTTCAATTCAATAGAATAAAAAGGTCCTGGTGTAGGATGCGCTCTGCCATTCTAATTGAGGAAAAAGAAGCCTCCTTTCCTCAAAACTCAGGGCCCTAAGGCCTGGGTGTTACACCTTTGGATGGAGAAGTCACTCCCATCGAATCAGGACCATTGAATTCACTTAATAGTTACCCAGCACCATTTTGAACACTTTATAAATACCAGTTCATCTGACTGCATGCTCACAGTAACATAGGAGAGAGGGTTTCAGTTGATGAAACTAAGGCCCAGTGCATTTAAGGGATTTGCCCAAAGGCACACGACCACAGTGACCAAAAACACAAGAGGAGCTGAGATTTCGAACCCAGGGCACCGGGTTTCCAAGCCTGTGCTCTTATCCACCACATTCTGCTGACCCACGTATTTCCCATCCAGATTCAGAATGCAGATTGATTTTCAACATCCATTGGGGATTCCGAAAAGACTGAGTGAAATGAATCCTGCCCCTCTGAGACTTTGATCCTGGGAGGTTTCTCAAGTTATCAACAGACTAAAAATAGAGCAAAAAAAACCCTGTAGATCCCTGGAGAAAGAGATTTATACAGGGGAAGAAGAGGGAGGTGTAGGCGAGACTCTGCTTTTAATGCATCCAGGAATAAGGCTCTACCGTCACTGGCTACTTGCTCACACGCACCTGCTGTGCACACGCCAATCCTGCGTAGACAGTTGCTAGTGTAACAGAACACGAGCAAGACCACGGAGGAACACATCACATGTAACTTGTTTTACAGTTACGTGTTGCAATGTTAGCTCAACAAAGTTGGAGAATATACACGTTAATGATCACTAGTAAAAAGAAAAGAGAGACCATTATTCCGTACCTACATTATGCTATTCCCTGTGCACATAACAAGCCTGTGAAAGCCACCCCAAGACCTGCATTTTTAACGCCAATTAATTTCAGAGCATAGTTGAGAAGGATTTTGCACAGAAGAAATG